GTGTAGCGATTCGTCCCGCGCACTAACTTATCTACGGAGACTTCTCTCTCGCCATTCCGTCAATTGAAGCTGACTGTAGAGTCCTTGTAGGGCACTCAGTAGCAGCGAGAGAGAAGTCTCCGGATTGAGAGTTAGTGCGCAGGGAGGTGTGTTGGAGCGTTCTAGACGATAATGTAACATAACTTATCTCCGGAGATTCTCTCTCGCTGCTTATGTGTGACCTACTATACTAGTCACGCTGTTCTAGTGACGGTAGTGAGCGAGGATGTGAAGTCTCGGAGAGTATGTTAGTGACTGGGTCAGTGCGCACTCAGATTTCTAACGCCTTCACCAATATTGTACACAGTGTTATCGCTGAGAAATAGCGAACTGATACATTTCTGTGTTAATATCTTTGCAAGTGTATAAAGCGTCACGTAAACTTTTATACATTTATATTGGGGATTACACTGTGGATGTGTTTGGTAGCTTCTTGAGGGAGTCCTTTTGGTGCTAACAATTTTTACAGTGGTGGCTGGCATTTGTGCTCCCACGGTTTTTTGCTCGTTTGAGTGGACAGAGCGCACGGAAATAAGACCAGACAGGTACGTATATAACTAGTCTAAGGCTTAGGTTAGAACTTATGTCAGTGTGTAAAACGATAGTGACCTATTCGTTAAACTCTGTGGAATCTGGAGCAGCTCTGGTCTCTGCACTTGTGTTTTGTTGAATGTTTTTTTCATCCAGTCCCAAAAGCACTTTCTGGATGATCTCTCAAATGTGCAGCGGGAGAGTTCTTAGATAACTCAGATTGAGGCAGTAAATCAGCCCAACCATTGTGAATATCATCTCACCACATCTCCAAGACCCTGCAGCTCCGGAGCACATTGGTGCATCTTTCAATCATAGATAATTGCATCTTCAAGGGAGTCTCAGTTTGTGCGCCTTCACAGGTGACTTCATAAACGTTAATCATGTTACCATTCTTCTATAACATAGACATCCTGAAAGGACGTAAATTTATTTTAATCCTTTAAACGTTGACAGCTGTGATTTGTGAAAGGCAATAAGAAAGTATTGTTGGCATTTTCAAATATACTAAAAACAAAAGTGGTGTGCATATGTATGCATGTTCATTTTACAAATGAATGTTGGGAACAATCAATTACATTATTTATGATGGGAGAAAGTTAGGTACCAATATCTATCCCTTGCATCAACCAATTAGGGCTGTTATCAATGATTATTGTGATTAAATTACATGAAATGAAACAGTATTGATTTATATGTGTCAACACAATATGTTTCATTTTTAGAGTGTGGTTGGTGCGTTTATCATCATTATCGCTAAAGAGTTGCACGAGATTAAGTGATCCTTTATTGGCCCAGAGTGGGGATATTTCAGTGTTGCATTACATAGTTACAGAACAGTAGGAATGTGGAGCTACACAGCTAACTATGATAAAGTGTAAGCAATTAACTCTTTTACTTATTATAAAATATAACAAATATCTCTTATCCAGACATCAATGTAAATACAAGTTTTGTAGTAGCCAACTACATTTTTACAACCTACCACCTCAGAATAAGAACGCGTATATTCCATTTACGCAAAAGTAAAATTAGCTCCACCACCTTTTCTTTTTGGAAACATATCTCCCTCCGTTCATCCTCGCAACAGTATCGGCGCCAGGTTTGCAATTTTGGGTAGGCCTGCAGATTAGTAAGTAGGCCAAATTCGCTTGCAAACTACAAGGGCTAACTGGAATTAACCTGGCAAGAGCCAGATTGATGATTGTGTAGAACTCTAACGCGTTCTCCGCGATATCAATCTGGGATTTCTCCCGGAGAATCCTTTCGGGGAAAGGAGGGGTAAGCAGCAGAATACTTGAAGCTGATTGGGCGAAGTGACGCTGTGTGCCCGCCTACCAAGGTTGCCGTCCAGAAATGTACAAAGCGCCTCTCGCTGTTCATCTTTCAAAAAAGAAATTGGAGATTCTGCTAAAACTGACTTTGCGTCCGTCCTCCTGCGTAGCCATGTTTGTTTTGCTTCGGCCCGGCACTTCTTGCTTTCGTCAAACCCGGATATCCCGCCCTAAACCCCCAGACTGGCGCGTGGCTCGCACACCCAGTGGTTCGACTCGAAAAGTGTAAGCGGGAGCGGTACAAGATGTATTCTCGAGTGTTTGTGAACTCACAAATACCGCGAGAATTCAGCTTGCAGGCAAGGTTAAACTGGAATTGGGGTTTCAAAGAATATGGTTCAAACGCACACACGCACGCACACGCACTCACGCGCGCACATACACACAAGCTCATTTATGAAACTTGCGTTGAAAAAGGTGTACATTTTGGGTGTATATTCCATTTACGCAATTTGCCAAAATGTTTTGATACATTAGAAAAATCCTTATTGAATTGTAGAAGTGAATAAATATAGATTGATTGAATGAATGAATTAATTCATATATATTATGCAGCGGTGGCTCTCATGAATGAAGCGTCTGCAGCGTCTTGGACGCAGCCTGGCTCGGGGTAGAAGTGCGCATTGAAGCGCTGTACACTTCAGAGAGCGTTTGCGGTCCAGATTTCACAAAGAAACTCTGGAGCCAAAACTTCTGCACATGTGGCGCGACCTCTCACGGCACTCGCTGCGCACTCTGGACAGGGCAGTGAGACATTTGGAGTGAGCAATACCATCGATGCGTTATTGGTGTGTGTGCCTGTGTGAGGCTTACACAAATCTAATGAAATAACACATTGCTTTACCAGATGTGAATGAGGAATACAAATAGCAGTGTGTAATTACGCAGCGCAGAGCCTGCCACAGCAATAGATGGGTCACACATCCCTGTTGCGTAAAGTGTATTTATATAGAGCCTTTGACTGTCCAGGATCACAAAGCGCTTCACATTTTAAAAACATACAGATCAAAATAATACACACACAAGTCAGATTTAATAGAGGGTCCTCATCATGAGCTGTGATTTATTCGAAGTTTGCGTGTTTCCATTAGACTTTTTCTGATGCGCAAATTCAAATTTTGAAACATGATCCTCAATGAAAACACAGCATATAATTTTGCCAGAGGGAATATGTTTATTGTTGTACATATCTTGAATTTCATGCGTGTTGTGCCGAAGGTTGAGTTCAGCGTATAGATTTACACCACCTCCAGACCTGGCGTTTATTTTTTGCGTATTGTACGCTCACGTCCAGATAGATAAATGCGGAAAAGTGTAATATTTTGCGTACGCCTCATTTACCCTGATTTGGCCGTACGCAGGTTTCATACATGAGGCCCACAGTGAGGCCCACAGTGAGGCCCACAGTGAGGCCTACAGTGAGGCCCACAGTGAGTCTCACACAGGCCTAGAGTTTACCTCATCAGTGCGAGGCGAGCCTGGCCTGACCCTCCTCCTCTGGGACCTACGGGCCCGGGCCTCTGGCTCCTCTACCTCACAAAGTTCACGCTGAACTTTCTTAAAATTAAAATGAAAAAGGCTGCTCTGTTGTGAATGCTTTGAGAGCGTTGTCAATCTTTAAGACGAGGAATAGCTGGTTGTTCTCGCTTCACGCTGTGTGATATGATATTGGACAAAATTGTTCAGCCAATAAACAGGACTATATTTGAAGCAACGTAGGAACGTGATAACGCTCAGGGGGTTATATTATTATTATAATTATTATTATTATTCCCCCCACTGTAGGAGCCAATACACTTTTCAATATTTTTGAATTCTGAGCGTTTCCAATTGTATTTAAAAATGGGAAACCTAATTAAACAATCATGAATTGAGCTTTTCCGATCTTATTTTACACTGATTCCTTTGATCATTTTTTTCTTAAAGTTCAAGTTGTAAAAATGCTATGTTTGAATTGGTTATTTACATTTTAACTGTGAGTGACACGTAAGGCGGGACAACAATGCACAATGACGCACGCGTTCTGAATAGAATAATATGTATTAATATCTCTAAAACTAAAAGAGCATATTCAAGTTTTACAACAAAAACGACGTCATATGCGTGTCCATTATGCGTAAAAGCACAGTGCCCTCAGCAAAACCACGTATTTGGAAAAACTATAGGCTAACAGATAGCTCTAGTTTCAATCGTCCTCATTTTATTCAGTCAGACTTGTCAAATATAGATGCCCATGGGAGAGTGAGCAAGGGGAGATAACATGCCCATAACATGCCCAAAAATATCCTGCATAGACTCAAGCTGCGATCAGCTGAAATATGAGCACACAAAGAGCGAGAGGGAAAAAGAAAAGTAAATAGGCTTAGGCTAGTTAGTATTTTTTCTCTCACAAAAGTTGGCACGGATCATATGCCATCTTTCGTGGAGGAGGAAACATCAAACATCAAAGCGCACACGCGGGGAACAGCGGGACTAGTCTCGTTGTTGAAGTCCCGATGTTCCCCCACTTCTGTTGGCGGGGGAACATGGGGACTTTTTAATACGCGAAGTACCGATGTTCCCCGGGTCCGATGTTCCCCCGCCTATAGAAGTGGGGGAACATCGGACCCGGGGAACATCGGACCCGGGGAACATCGGTACGCACCCGTAAACTAGTATCACATGATGCTAACATGTACAGGTACTATGGTACAGTACAGCTCTGATGGTGGAGCTGCAGTTGGCTGGATGACACTGTGCCACATTAGCTCCTTTGTGTTAGCGCAGAGGGCCACAGGACGCAGAGGGCCATATTTGGCCCACAGGCCGCAGGTTGGACATGCCATGACCTTGTGAGTTCAGCTTTAGTCCTTGTCACCGCTGACTTTGTTTTTACTTCATTATTTATTTAAAGTGGTTCAGAGCGACACACGTTCTGTCCAGTTCTTCTGAAACATGTGGAACACGCTGGATTCTAAACAAATATGTTTCTGTGACAGTTTTTACCCAAAATGAACCTTCATTTCAACTTTGTCCATTTCCATTTTCCCCAAACTCAGCTCCATAAGCAGTGACAGATCCAGGAGAAGCTTTTAATGAAGTCACTTCAACACTTACACTTTCTGGGTCCTGGAGTTAACCACTGAGCTCCAGAATGCTCCAGTCTGAAACACATTAAATCTCATTAAAACATCTGTCACACTGAGTCCGGTTATGGCGGCCATGTAGGGAAGACATGCTTTAGACCGCTCCGCTGCCCGTGCTCAAATTATTAACCAATATTTGATTCTTTATTGTTTCCTTTATTGGATGGAACAACGTCTCCAGCAAAGGGAAGCAAAGTAAGCCAAGATGCCACCGAGAAGATTAAACAGCATAAACTAACGGAGTATGGCCATCGCAGCGAGGCACAGAAAGCTAATGCTAGCGGTAGCAACTCCCCACCCGGAATGGCGACGAGGGATGCGAGCGAAGACAGAACCCAGAGCAGTAAAGTGGATGAAATACTATCCATAGTTACTGCCATAAAAAGTGATTTGGATCATCTTCGACAGGATGTTCAGGACTGCGCCGAGCGAGTGACACAGGCAGAAACCCACACATCTAACGACGAAGATGAGGTTGAAACCCTGCGGGCTAAAGCTAGTGCACTGGAGTCGAAGCAGAACATCTTGGAAGACAAAGTAATGGACTTGGAATCGAGGTGAAGACGGAACAACGTTAGGCTTGTTAACTTGGATGAAGGTACCGAGGGAAGTGACCCGTGCAAGTTTCTGGAAAGGTGGATTCCTGAGATCCAGAGTTTATACTTTATAAAACTTTATAAAAACACAATGACAGCAGAATCAGAGAGCACTGCTGTGTCCCAGAAATGCCCAGTATCCTACAGTTTAATTCCCGTTTGAGCATTATTTGGGAAAGTCGTGTAAACCACTGAACTCCAGTGAAACTCAAGCCGTTCCCGCGCACAGGAAGTGAAGTGGGGTTGGAACTAAAACGCAGAAGTGGTGCGTGCATAGAGCCCATTGGTCTGTTTTGATTTACCTTCCGACCCAGCAGTGAGTATTCCTAAATAGTTTCAATTCTGTTTCTATTAACACTAACTCTTATAAAATGTGCCTTATATTTGTCACTGCTTTCATTTGGTGCAACACGGACTATTCAGGCTGTTTCAATGACTCTCGTGGCCGATTAGCGGCGAAGAATGAACAATATCTTGAGGTCTGCACGAGCAGCAGCGGTTTTGTTTTTGTTTGTTTTTTAGATAGAGAAGAATGGTAGACTGCTCCCCATTTTGTGTGGATCTGCCGCACGCAGTAACGGGACACGTAAAGGGGAGGGTGGGAGACCTGCAGAGGTTGGGGAAGGGGAGGGGTTTTGGTTTTAGTTCTTGTGTTCAAATGTTGGGTCATGTTAAGCTTCTTAGGAAATTGCAAGTGTATTTAAATAAGCTTAGAAAAGATATCTGTCTGGTTGTGATTAGTTGTTCTTATTATTGTGTTCAGTAGAATTTAGATCATCAAAATGGTACATGGAAAAGATATAAAAATAGTTACTTGGAACTGCAGGGGTCTTCAACGATTCAAAAAGGTTCAACAGGTTATAACTAAATTAAAAGACATGGACTCAAAAATGTTATTTCTGCAAGAGACACATTTAGTAGAGGAAGACGGAAAAAGGGTTAGGAGGAGGTGGCGAGGTAATGTTTATACATCAGCATTTTCTTCACGGGCGAGGGGCGTCATGACTTTGATTCATGAATCAGTTCCATTGAACGTTAATAATATAATGAAGGAGAAGAGAGGCAGATATTTGATCATTCAAGGATCTATGCTGCACGAACACATACATTTAGTAAACGTGTCTGGTCCAAATTCAGATGACTCCACTTTTTACCATGACCTCTTCCTTTTGCTTCCAACACTGCCGGGTCACTATGTACTTGCTGGTGATTTCAATTGTACCCTTGTCCCAAGTTAGGACAGGTCCACGGGCACTGATCAATCGCATAACTCATGCAGATGTCACTTGGCCGACCTTTAGAAAGAATGACGTATATCCAGAAGTCAAAACAACATATGTTTGAACACATTTGGGGACCCTTTATTGAGTTCATGAAGGATTTGGACTTTACTGCTGACCTGACACATTATTAAAAGAAGAAAAAAGACAAACTTGCAGGTCTTTACACTGTTTGGATATGATTATTCTCTATTTTGAAGAGAATCTTTAAGTTCTCATTAGGCCCAGTTGTTGTTTTTGTTGTTTTTTATGTTTTTATTTTATTTGTTTTATTCTAAAATCATCTTGTAATACTGAACTACTCTGTTAAATTGTTAACTGAAGCTTTGTTGTATTATATTTAAAACCTCAATAAAAATGTATATAAAAAAAATATATATATATCTGTCACACTAAGGCCATGTGTTCTTTGATGTGTGATGTCACATGTCTCTTCTGTCCTTACAGACCATACCTGAGAGTGTGCAGGGTGCAGTGGGGGTCCTCCAGCAGAGCAGACAGCAGCTTTACTCCTGTGTCTCCTGGATGGTTGTAGCTCAGGTCCAGTTCTTTCAGATGGGAGGGGTTGGACCTCAGAGCTGAGGCCAGAGAAGCACAGCCTTCCTCTGACACCAAACAACCTGACAGACTGAACACACACATTATTGTAATCACTCAGTTCATGACTAACATTCAACCCAAATGAGACACAGTCCTTTATCTTTAACTGTCTTTGTCCACTGGTATTGTCCAAAACAATGACCAACAGGTTCTGTAAGAACAGTGAATCATATGAACCCTCTGACCTGAGCGTCTCCAGTTTACAGTGAGGACTCTTCAGTCCATCAGACAACAGCTTCAGCCCTGAGTCCTTCAAGTCGTTGTGACTCAGGTCCAGGACTCTCAGACTAGAGGACTGGGAGCTGAGGACTGAGGCCAGAGCTCCACAGCTTCTGTCTGACAGCTCACAGCAGCTCAGTCTGGAGACAGAAAACATTACAGACTTTAGAACAAAACAGACACATTTAGATGCTTCTGGTGAGACTTCATTTATAGAGCTGTTGTTTTAGATTATTATTTTTTAACAAAAAAGTACAACAAAAGAAACCACTGTCTTCAGACTTGTGTAAATCTGTGGGTGAAAAAGAGCAGATGAAGGACTTTGGTGAAGGAGGAGACACACTGTTGTGGAAATTCTGCAGTGACCAAGAGCTAAAATAATGTAAAGAACCAAGAGCTGTAAAACAATCAAAGTGTGAGTTTATTCATTAGTAAATGTGACACATACAATGAATAACAGAACCGATACCAACACCACCTGCAGCCGTCTGAAACCGTCTGCCACGAATGAGGAAATGACAGACATTAAAAAGACCAGAGTAAACAAAGACATATCTACTCTAGATATTACAAAATGAAGTTAGTATTGATCTGTGTCGCTCAAGGCTTCTCTTTACTCTTCCTTTCTCTGATACAACTCTGATACTTGTAATGATCTGCTTTGACCTGGACATATTGTTCTATGACCCAGATGAGCAGGGCCGGAGTGGGAACATTTTTTGGCCCGGGAATTCTGGATCAGACCGGCCCTTCTGATAAAGTAGTCTATCAAAAAAAACGTTGCTACTACCTGCTGTTGTAATATCCATAACAACCAGCAGGTGGCCTAAAATCAAGTTTTGTAAATTACCAGACTAGTACTAATCAAGTTATTCTTTGTTCACCCCTTTTAGACTTCTCAGTGTTAGTCACAAAATAACTCAATAATGCATTTGAATAAATCATGATATTTGAATATTCTGGTATCACAATATGAATTTAGACTGACTCTAGACTTATGTGGATATAAAAAGTATGAATTTCACAAATTTTAGAACAATGTCAATTTTCATTCAAATAATTGTTATTCCCAAAGATTTGGCTATATTTTTTTAATAATACATTGAATTGACTCAAAACCATTAAACTATTATCCTCCTTTCAAGACTAAACAAAAACAAAGACTAATGCAAACACTACACTAAGACAAAAATGTACTTGCTACAACTTTATACAAAACCAAAATGAATCTGAACATACTTTAATGTTGTCCCAGGGGAGAACTAAAAGCAAACTAAATGTGAACCTGTATCAAGACGAGAAAACACAAACTGCACAGTATTTAAATCAAACAAACCCAAATTAACAAAAGCAAAAGTAAGCACATTAAAACATGAGTAAACTCTGTAGAAGTGACTTGTTTCTGCTTAATGATAATGATAATATCCTTATCCAATGACAAAGGATGTCTTTTTCTCTAGACATGACAATAAATGCTTCACATCTGTGAGATTTCATAACACTTTGAAGCAACTTTTGTTAAAGTTAAACTCATCATTCTATCAATGTGCAGAAGCCAGTACTTTTCCCTTGTTGTGTCTATCTGAAGGCCAAGCTACATGGCACTGTGGCAGCTGCTGATTGGAGGTCTCCATGCCTCCGCTCTGTATAATACACTTGCATTCTGTTGTTCGTGTTGTTCGTGCTGTCTCTACCATCGACAATAAAACATGTCTTCTGTCTGAATGAAAGACGCGATCCCAGACATGTCATCTTCTTCACATCTTTTGACACACACACAAAATATTCAACTGTTACTTTCCTAATGTACAAAGAAGTTAAAAATGTTATTTATGCAATATACATTATACATTATGAAATAAATAAATTCACGGCCTTAAAAGGCTTAGTCAAATTTGATTAAAAATAAAATCTTCTTTTGGTCTTTACCTGCCCGTTCCTGAGGCTCTTCATTAATATGAATGGACGATTGTTGTATCTGAGGACCTAAGAAGCAATAAATGTAATTGACGGAATGCTAATCATTTAGGGAATCACATCGTCATGTTTTGCCACAGTGTTTTGCATGTTTTTTTTGCTAGCTTACCGCGGTCTGATGCCTCTTCATCGACGAATCACTTTTTCTAGAAAAAAACTACCAACTTTGCACATTTGGCTGCTTCAGCTTCAAGAGATTTCCGTTTTTTATTCTAATTTTTTCTGCTCCGCCCTTGATTTTGTTCCTTTCCCTTTTAAAAACTTGCTTCCGTTCTATCTGTCATTCAACCTGATCTATGGCCCGCGCTCTCGGTTAGTCCCGCCTACAATCTACAGACAACCAATCAGACCGTTGCAGAACACATTGTAACCAATGAAAGCGACCAAATGAGACTAGCCAGAAGTGTGTGTGCTGTTTACTCGTGTGTGTGTGTGTGTGTGTGTGTGTGTGTGTGTGTGCGTGCGTGAGAGAGAGAGAGAGGCAGTGCGCACGGCCGAGCGACAGGTCCGAGAAGGCTGCGGTGAACAGCGGTGTCAGGAAAGCACGGCCGCCGGCCAAGTCCAACCAGCAACATACAACATCCAGCCCACCGGCCCTTAGCCCAATCAGCCCACCGGGAAACCTCCCGACTCTCCCGATTAGCCACGCCGGCACTGCAGATGAGGTCAAAGACATGATGCAGCACGTCTCCATCTATCACTGACCTGCTGCCAACAGTAATATCTGCTGTATCTGAATCCAGAGTTGAGAATTAGTTAATAACTTACACTTATAACTATTTGGTGTTAATTCAGATTGGTTTACTAAAAGATTTCTATAACAGACGGTTTCAGACGGCTGCAGGTGGTGTTGGTATCGGTTCTGTTATTCATTGTATGTGTCACATTTACTAATGAATAAACTCACACTTTGATTGTTTTACAGCTCTTGGTTCTTTACATTATTTTTGCTCTCGGTCACTGCAGAATCTCCACAACTGCACTTTTCTGTCAGATGTTTGAACTCGAGAAGAAGATCTTAAGGAGAGGCCTAATGTTTGTTTGATGATTAAAATATCACAGATCAGAGAAGCACATTTTAGTGAATAGAAAGATAAGTGTTTGTTCTGTAATGAGGAGCAGCTCTCTGCCTCCAGATGATAAAGCCTTGATGTGTTTGTTTGCAGAGTTATCTTTGTTTCTGGACTTGTGCTCTTCTTTAGTTAAACTATCAGTGTTAAACTGTTCTTTAAACTGTTCTTTAAACTGTTCTTTTTCTCACTTAAACCTGTGTGTTGGAGCGAGGGTGGACTCAGGTGAGGGATGGTTTTAGCAGCTAAAGAGATGTCTTATCTTTAACTGTCTTTGTCCACTGGTATTGTCCAAAACAATGACCAACAGGTTCTGTAAGAACAGTGAATCATATGAACCCTCTGACCTGAGCGTCTCCAGTTTACAGTGAGGACTCTTCAGTCCATCAGACAACAGCTTCAGCCCTGAGTCCTTCAAGTCGTTGTGACTCAGGTCCAGGACTCTCAGACTAGAGGACTGGGAGCTGAGGACTGAGGCCAGAGCTCCACAGCTTCTGTCTGACAGCTCACAGGAGCTCAGTCTGGAGACAGAAAACATTACAGACTTTAGAACAAAACAGCAACATTTAGATGCTTCTGGTGAGACTTGCTTTATAGAGCTGTTGTTTTAGATTATTTTTTTTTAACAAAAAAGTGCAACAAAGAAACCACTGTCCTCAGACTTGTGTAAATCTGTGGGTGAAAAAGAGCAGATGAAGGACTTTGGTGAAGGAGGAGACACACTTTTCTGTCAGATGTTTGAACTCGAGAAGAAGATCTTAAGGCGAGGCCTAATGTGTGTTTTATGATTAAAATATCACAGATCAGAAAAGCACATTTTAGTGAATAGAAAGATAAGTGTTTGTGATGTAATGAGGAGCAGCTCTCTGCCTCCAGATGATAAAGCCTTGATGTGTTTGTTTGTAGAGTTATCTTTGTTTATGGACTTCTGCTCTCCTTAAACTATCAGTGTTAAACTGTTCTTTAACTGTTCTTTAAACTGTTCTTTTTCTCACATAAACCTGTGTGTTAGTGCGAGGGTGGACTCAGGTGAAGGATGGTCTTAGCAGCATCTTTAACTGTCTTTGTGCACTGGTATTGTCCAAAACAATGACCAACAGGTTCTGTAAGAACAGTGAATCATATAAACCCTCTGACCTGAGCGTCTCCAGTTTACAGTGAGGACTCTTCAGTCCATCAGACAACAGCTTCAGCCCTGAGTCCTTCAAGTTGTTGTGACTCAGGTCAAGGACTCTCAGACTAGAGGACTGGGAGCTGAGGACTGAGACTAGAGCTCTACAGCTTCTGTCTGACAGCTCACAGCGGTTCAGTCTGGAGACAGAAAACATGGTTATGTAGAAGTTGAATGAATCCTGTGTTAAACAAAGGTTACTCACAGAGCTTTGGTGGAGGCCTTGACCACTGGCAGCAGCCTCAGGAGAGCCTCCTCTGAAGCACAGTATCTGCTCAGCTCAAACTGGTCCAGATCTTCTTCTGATGACAGTAAGATGAAGGCCAGTGCTGACCACTGAGCAGGAGACAGTCCTTCAGACAGACGTCCTGACCTCAGGGTCTGTTGGATCTGCTCCACCAGAGAAGAATCATTCAGTTCATTCAGACAGTGGAGCAGACTGATGCTCCCCTCTGCAGACACATCCTCACTCAGCTTCTTCTTAATGTACTCTGCTGTCTTCTGATTGGTCTGGGAGCTACTTCCTGTCTGTGTCAGCAGACCGTTAAGAAGGCTCTGATTGGTCGACACTGAAAGGCCCAGGAGGAAGCGGAGGAGCAGGTCCAGGTGTCCATTTGGACTCTGTAAGGCCTGGTCCACAGCTGTCTGGTAGAAGTTAAGTGGATCCTTTTCATTGAAGTAATGCTTTATCATGGACATTATGGACTTGCTCTCTACCAACAAATTAATTCCAGTGTTGATGAAGGTCAGATGGACGTGAAGAGCAGCCAGAAACTCCTGCACACTCAGATGGATGAAGCAGTAGACCTTGTCCTGGTACAGGCCTGGCTCCTCTCTAAAGACCTGTGTGAAGACTCCGGAGTACACTGAGGCGGCTGCAGCGTCCAGCCCACACTCGCTCAGGTCACAGTCGTAGAAGATCAGGTTTCCTCTCTGTAGCTGCTCAAAGGCCAGTTTTCCCAGAGACTCCACCATCTTCCTGGTGTCTGGACTCCAGTGTGGGTCTGTCTCTGATCCTTCTTTATACTTGATGTTCTTGACTTTGGCCTGAACCACCAGGAAGTGGCTGTACATCTGCGTCAGGCTCTTGGGCAGCTCTCCTCTCTCTCTGCTCTTCAACACATGCTCCAGGACTCTGGCAGTGATCCAGCAGAAGACTGGCATGTGGCACATGATGTGGAGGCTTCTGGACGTCTTGATGTGGGAGAGGACTGTGTCGGCCTGTTCTCCGAACCTCCTCCTGAAGTACTGCTCCTTCTGAGAGTCGCTGAACCCTCGGACCTCTGTCACCATGGAGACACACTCTGCAGGGATCTGATTGGCCGCCGCGGGGCGCGTGGTGATCCAGAGGCGAGCGGAGGGCAGCAGGCTCCCCCTGAGGAGGTTCACCAGCAGCAGGTCCAGAGAGACGGACTCTTTGGGGTCTGAGAGGACACGAGAGCTGCTGAAGTCCAGAGGAAGTCTGCACTCGTCCAGACCGTCAAAGATGAAGAGCACCTGGAGGTCTTCAAAGCTGCAGAGATCTGCTTGTGTTTGACTAAAGAAGTGATGAACAAGTGACACCAGGCTGAAGCTTCTGTCCTTCAGAACATTGAGAGTTCTGAAAGTGAAGGGGAACAGCAGCTGGAGGTCCTGGTTGGCTTTGCCTTCAGCCCAGTCCAGACTGAACTTCTGAGTGAGCACTGTTTTCCCCGATGCCAGCCACTCCCTTTGTCAGCACCGTTCTGATTGGTTTGTCTGAGTGGGCCGGGTCTTTAAAGATGTCTTCACATGTGATGGTTCTCTCTGCTGGTCTCCTGGAGGCTGCTTCCATGTGTCGGACCTCATGTTCCTGGTTGACCTCTGAAGAGCCTCCCTCTGTGATGTAGAGCTCGGTGTAGATCTGCTTCAGGAGGGTGGGGGATCCTGCTTTAGCGATGCCCTCAAACACACACTCAAACCTCTGCTGCAGATCCACCTTCAGTTTACGCTGAGAACGTCCAGAAGAAACCCCTGAATGAAGACAACATAGACAGGAGTCAGAGAAGATCACATGACCATCATGAACGTGTTCTTACTGCTCCACAGACGCTCAGCCAGCTCCTTCTGATCCATCCTCCTCAGGAAGTTCAGTGTGATCTTCAGGAGTGCCTCACTGCAGCTCCTCTGCTCCTCATCCTCCACAGGCTCTAAGCATTCTGGGTAATCTGTGCTCAGAAGCCTGAGGAACTTCTTCACCTCCTCCTGGACAAAAGTGGAGAGGTTCTTCTCCAGGTGCTGCACACACACATAAGAAACAACACAAATGCTCTCAATAACTGTCTCCATCAGTGTGGACCGCATGTCTGTGCTGTTGCCTGGATACAGGAGCTGCCTGTGATACATGTTTCCTCCAGAAGAGGGCACACTGTGCACAGGTCCACTCTCTTTGTCTTTTTTTTTTATATTCTTTAAAAAAGCAGCTTCATTGAGAGTAGAATTTCAACAAAACAAAAGGCCTTCTGTGGCAGAGTGGTTAGCACTCTTCTCGGCCAGAAGGTCCTCCCTTTGACTGATCCCCTACCATTAACATTCAGAGGGAATACACAAATGGAGATGGGTTAGCGGCTGCTACACTATGGCGACCCATAGAAGGACGGGTCAAATGCAGAGGACACGTTTCCTCCTGGTGGCAGGAAAGGACCTTAACCTCTGATCAAAGATGGAAACACATGTGACTGCATCTCGTGGAAACTAGCACAAAGAGTCTCTTTTCTTGTATGTCCAAGACATGCGCACTCTGCGACTGGCGGTGGATGAGAGCTTGGTGTCTTGGTCGAGTGTGTTTTAAGAACTTTATGAACTTTAGTTTTAGTTATTGTGGTCGACTGGTGCATTTGACGGACTGGTGCTTTTATCAACGCAACCAGAGGCAAGTGACCAGCTTTATTGTGCTGGCATTAAACATTACAGACAGTACAGGCCATAGAACTGTAGAGCAGTAAAATCCACATGTATGTGTTTGTCTTCATGGTCTCTGTGGCTGCTGTGGTCAGACGTTAAACTTTATGAACAGCATGAAGCGGAGAGACCCGCGCACGTGCTGCCGTTATGTGACATGTGAAAATGTAGCTTATCCTGAAAGATCTCAGACGTCCTCCGCGATTATCACTAATTAGCAGAGGTCCACAGGTAAAACTAATCCTGTGGACTAGGGCTGATGATGGAAACACCTGTGACTACATCTCGTGGAAAAGCCAGTATAAAGTGTCTCTGGGTTTTTCTACTGAAGTCAAACTGTGTCACAAGTTGTTGTTTTGTTGTTTTCAGTCTGTAGCTAAAGCTTTGTGTAGCGTGTGCACTATACCCAAGTGAGTAAAAGATAGATGTAAAGTCACTATTGGCAAAAGTCTGAGTATGGCTCTGGGAGCAGAGCGAGACACACCGAGACCATGTGTGATTCTTCTTTTTTAGGTGGTGCCAAAAGAATTGGAATTGAAAAACTGGAACAGACAATTAAAAATTACGGGGCGACAGTGGTTCAGTTGGTAGAGCGTTGGCCTTTGAGCCTGAAGGTTGTGGGTTCGAGTCCACCATAGGTAAAAAAAAGAAAAGTGTGTGTTCGGTGAGCAGTCGAGTGAATTGGTTCAAAGGTTCAGGAGAGTATTCCACAGGTGCATGTGAGTCACTGTGGAGCCACTCAACATGAGTCACGAGGACGGAAAAGTAAAGAAAAGGGAGGCTGCAGTGGTTCAGGCAGTTCCTCTCTCTGGAGCTCTAGTCTGGTTATGGTTCAGGGACTTTGCGGTCCATCTGGACCCACCTGGCCGGCTCCGTAGTGTAAACCACACACACAGAATGACATGAGTGCGCACAGGGAAAACGTTTTATTAAAACATTATCAGTAAGTTCTTACTCTGGTTACATCTGTACAATACATCTGTGTTCTGTCTCTAATGGTTCAGTGAAACCTCCAGGACTGAGCCTGATGGGTTTTTATTCTCTGCATGAGTTTCTGAGTTTACATGTGTTTCCACTTCCTGTTTCTGGTGCCATACTTCAAACTGTGCTTTAGCATCAGCGTCACATCAGTGTCTCATCAGTGTCTCATCAGTGTCATCAGTGTCTCATCAGTGTCTCATCAGTGTCAGTGTCTCATCAGTGTCTCATCAGTGTCTCATCAGCGTCACATCAGCGTCTCATCAGCGTCACATCAGCGTCTCATCAGCTTCTCATCAGCGTCTCATCAGCGTCTCATCAGCGTCTCATCAGCGTCTCATCAGCTTCTCATCAGCGTCACATCAGCGTCTCATCAGCTTCTCATCAGCGTCTCATCAGCGTCTCATCAGCGTCTCATCAGCGTCTCATCAGCGTCACATCAGTGTCTCATCAGCGTCTCATCAGCGTCTCATCAGCGTCACATCAGTGTCACATCAGCGTCTCATCAGCGTCTCATCAGCGTCTCATCAGCGTCACATCAGTGTCTCATCAGCGTCTCATCAGCGTCTCATCAGCGTCTCATCAGTGTCTCATCAGCGTCACATCAGTGTCTCATCAGCGTCTCATCAGTGTCAGTGTCTCATCAGTGTCTCATCAGTGCCTCATCAGCGTCTCATCAGCGTCTCATCAGCGTCACATCAGTGTCTCATCAGCGTCTCATCAGCGTCTCATCAGCGTCTCATCTGTGTCATCAGTGTCTCATCAGTGTCACATCAGTGTCTCATCAGTGTCTCATCAGTGTCTCATCAGTGTCTCATCAGCGTCTCATCAGCGTCTCATCAGCGTCTCATAAGCGTCTCATCAGTGTCTCATCAGTGTCTCATCAGCGTCACATCAGTGTCACATCAGCGTCTCATCAGCGTCTCATCAGCGTCTCATCAGCGTCACATCAGTGTCTCATCAGCGTCACATCAGCGTCTCATCAGCGTCTCATCAGTGTCTCATCAGCGTCACATCAGTGTCTCATCAGTGTCTCATCAGTGTCAGTGTCTCATCAGTGTCTCATCAGTGTCTCATCAGCGTCTCATCAGCGTCTCATCAGCGTCACATCAGTGTCTCATCAGCGTCTCATCAGCGTCTCATCAGCGTCTCATCAGCGTCTCATCTGTGTCATCAGTGTCTCATCAGTGTCACATCAGTGTCTCATCAGTGTCTCATCAGTGTCTCATCAGTGTCTCATCAGCGTCTCATCAGCGTCTCATCAGCGTCTCATAAGCGTCTCATCAGTGTCTCATCAGTGTCACATCAGTGTCACATCAGTGTCTCATCAGCGTCTCATCAGTGTCTCATCAGCGTCTCATCAGTGTCACATCAGTGTCTCATCAGTGTCACATCAGTGTCTCATCAGTGTCACATCAGTGTCATCGGTATCTCATCAGTGTCTCATCAGTGTCACATCAGTGTCTCATCTCATCAGTGTCTCATCTCATCAGTGTCTCATCAGTGTCTCATCTCATCAGTGTCTCATCAGTGTCTCATCAGCGTGAAACTAGTCCTTCAGCTGAATGTCTCCAAACAGTGAATGACAGACCTTTAATATGGAGTCCAGGTGTGTGCGACGGTGTGGACCACTGGAGACCTCTGCATCATCCTCTCTGTGGAAGAGACAGAGACAATTATGTCCATGTGACTCTGTGACAGAGACACTTATGTCATGTGACTCTGCGACAGAGACACTTATGTCCATGTGACTCTGTGACAGAGACACTTATGTCCATGTGACTCTGAGACAGAGACACTTATGTCCATGTGACTCTGCGACAAAGACACTTATGTCCATGTGACTCTGCGACAGAGACACTTATGTCCATGTGACTCTGAGACAGAGACACTTATGTCCATGTGACTCTGAGTCAGAGACACTTATGTCCATGTGACTCTGTGACAGAGACACTTATGTCCATGTGACTCTGTGACAGAGACACTTATGTCCATGTGACTCTGAGACAGAGACACTTATGTCCACGTGACTCTGAGACAGAGACACTTATGTCCACGTGACTCTGTGACAGAGACACTTATGTCCACGTGACTCTGTGACAGAGACACTTATGTCCATGTGACTCTGCGACAGAGACACTTATGTCCATGTGACTCTGTGACAGAGACACTTATGTCCACGTGACTCTGTGACAGAGACACTTATGTCCATGTGACTCTGCGACAGAGACACTTATGTCCATGTGACTCTGTGACAGAGACACTTATGTCCATGTGACTCTGCGACAGAGACACTTATGTCCATGTGACTCTGTGACAGAGACACTTATGTCCACGTGACTCTGTGACAGAGACACTTTGTTTGATTAAGTCTGTGGCAATAAAAATGGTCTTTCCAGCTAAATGTCTTGTAAATTGTTAATAGGGTAAAATGGATTGTGTAAAGTAACAAACCAGTAGGTAAAACGATTAAAAATAACGATTTCTTTTAACTTAAACATTCAATTCCAAGGGCTGCCTTAAAATGTTGATTCCAAACAATTAGAATTGTATAGTGTAATCAAGTTATTTGCCTGTGTTTATTCAACTTATGTAATTAATTCATAGTACTTGATAATACGAATCAATTCAATTGCTTTATTTCAGTTGAGTAGAATAAGGGAAAGTCGTTGACTCAACTTTCTCAAGCTTGCTCAGTTAACAACGTTCCCTTATTCTACTCAACTGAAACAAAGCAATTGAATTGATTCGTATTATCAAGTACTATGAATGACACACAGCTGTACATCTCCATGTCTCCTGATGATACACAGCTGTACATCTCCATGTCTCCTGATGATACACAGCTGTACATCTCCATGTCTCCTGATGATACACAGCTGTACATCTCCATGTCTCTGATGATACACAGCTGTACATCTCCATGTCTCTGTTGATACACAGCTGTACATCTCCATGTCTCCTGATGATACACAGCTGTACATCTCCATGTCTCTGATGATACACAGCTGTACATCTCCATGTCTCCTGATGATACACAGCTGTACATCTCCATGTCTCCTGATGATACACAGCTGTACATCTCCATGTCTCCTGATGATACACAGCTGTACATCTCCATGTCTCTGATGATACACAGCTGTACATCTCCATGTCTCCTGATGACACACAGCTGTACATCTCCATGTCTCCTGATGATACACAGCTGTACATCTCCATGTCTCTGATGATACACAGCTGTACATCTCCATGTCTCCTGATGATACACAGCTGTACATCTCCATGTCTCTGATGATACACAGCTGTACATCTCCATGTCTCTGTTGATACACAGCTGTACATCTCCATGTCTCTGTTGATACACAGCTGTACATCTCCATGTCTCTGATGATACACAGCTGTACATCTCCATGTCGCTGATGAAACACAGCTGTACATCTCCATGTCTCTGATGATACACAGCTGTACATCTCCATGTCTCTGATGATACACAGCTGTATATCTCCATGTCTCCTGATGATACACAGCTGTACATCTCCATGTCTCTGTTGATACACAGCTGTACATCTCCATGTCTCTGTTGATACACAGCTGTACATCTCCATGTCTCTGTTGATACACAGCTGTACATCTCCATGTCTCTGACGACACACAGCTGTACATCTCCATGTCTCTGATGATACACAGCTGTACATCTCCATGTCTCTGATGATACACAGCTGTACATCTCCATGTCTCCTGATGATACACAGCTGTACATCTCCATGTCGCTGATGAAACACAGCTGTACATCTCCATGTCTCCTGATGATACACAGCTGTACATCTCCATGTCGCTGATGAAACACAGCTGTACATCTCCATGTCTCTGTTGATACACAGCTGTACATCTCCATGTCACTGATGAAACACAGCTGTACATCTCCATGTCTCTGATGATACACAGCTGTACATCTCCATGTCTCTGATGATACACAGCTGTACATCTCCATGTCTCTGATGATACACAGCTGTACATCTCCATGTCTCTGATGATACACAGCTGTACATCTCCATGTCTCCTGACGACACCAGGCCAATGGATGCTCTTTTTACTGCATTTTAGACCTGAAATCCTGGATGGCAGAAAACTTTCTCCAGCTCAACCAGGACAAAACTGAGGTTTTAGTCATCGGTCCTGAGGCCCAGAGAGAGAAACTTTTACCAAAACTCCAATCACACTCTTTTAATCCATCATCACAAGTGAAAAATCTGGGCGTAATCTTTGACTCTGAGCTGACTTTTATTCCTCACATCAAGAGTATCACAAAAATAGGTTTTTATCATTTAAAGAACATTGCCAGAGTCCGCCCCATTCTCTCTCGGGGCAACACGGAGACGCTGATGCTTTTATCACCAGTCGCATTGACTACTGTAATGCCCTGCTCTCTGGTCTTCCCAAAAAGAATATTGCAAGTCTTCAATTACTCCAAAACTCAGCCGCACGTGTCCTGACTAAGACCAGGGGGCGTGTCCTGACTAAGACCAGGGGGCGTGTCCTGACTAAGACCAGGGGGCGTGTCCTGACTAAGACCAGGGGGCGTGTCCTGACTAAGACCAGGGGGCGTGTCCTGACTAAGTCCAGGGGGCGTGTCCTGACTAAGACCAGGGGGCGTGTCCTGACTAAGACCAGGGGGCGTGTCCTGACTAAGACCAGGGGGCGTGTCCTGACTAAGTCCAGGGGGCGGGACCACATTACACCGGTTTTAAAATCGCTGCATTGGCTCCCCGTGTGTTTCAGGATCGATTTTAAGGTTCTTTTAATGGTTTTTAAATGTCTTAATGGTCTTGGGCATTCTTATCTTTCAGATTTGCTTTTATCCTATGAACCTTCCCGGCCCCTGCGCTCCTCCAGCAGCAGACTCCTAACCATCCCCAAAGTCAGGACACACACTCACGGCGAGGCATCTTTCCAGCACTACGGCCCCCGTCTCTGGAACAGTCTGAGGAGGAGCTCAGGGCCGCAGAGAACGTTCATATTTTTAAAAGTAGGCTCAAGACACACTTTTTTAGATTAGCTTTTGATTAGTTTTTATTATTCCATTCTATTTATTATTTATTATTTATTATATTGCTATTGCTATTATTCATGTATTGTTTGTTCCTTTTAGTCTCACATTTTAGTGTTTTACTTATTGTATTGTTTTTAGTGTACCCAGTGTTTCCTCTGGAGGAGCCCTCTGCACTGGGAGCAGTGGTCGGTGTGGCTGCGGGGGTCGGATTCTTGGGCCTGGTGGGGGCCTGGGGCCTCGGTTTCATGTCTCCTCTGGGTCCTGTGTCATCCCCTGTGGCTACGGGCGGCTCTCTGCTCCTGGTGCAGACGGCTCCTTGGATGACGCTTTTTCAGCTGGTTGCATCTGAACCCTGCCAAGTCTCTCATCATGGTTTTACTGTTTTACTGGTGTGTGTGTGTGTGTGTGTGTGTGTGTGTGTGTGTGTGTGTGTGTGTGTGTGTGTGTGTGTGTGTGTGTGTGTGTGTGTGTGTGTGTGTGTGTGTGTGTGTGTGTGTGTGTGTGTGTGTGTGTGTGTGTGTGTGTGTGTATGAGTGTTCATGAGCGCGTGTGTGTGTTTGTCTGTGGTTTGGGGTGGGTCTGTTGGGTGGTCTGGGGGAGGGGTCTTGGGTTGGCGGGATTGTTTTTAACCAAACTGTAAAGCACTTTGTGTTGCATCTTTTGTATGAAAAGCGCTTTATAAAAAAATTTGATTGATTGATTGATTGATTGTAGAATTTTTGAAGAATGTATTTGTAAATTATGGTGGAAAATAAGTATTTGGTCACTTCAAACAAGGAAGATCTCTGGCTCTCACAGACCTGTAACTTCTTCTTTAAGAAGCTCTTCTGTCCTCCACTCGTTACCTGTATTAATGGAACCTGTTTGAACTCATCTGTATAAAAGACACCTGTCCACAGCCTCAAACAGTCAGACTCCAAACTCCACTATGACACAAGACCAAAGAGCTGTCGAAGGATACCAGGAAAAGAATTATAGACCTGCACCAGACTGGGAAGAGTGAATCTACAATAGGTAAGCAGCTTGGTGTGAACAAATCAACTGTGGGAGCAATTATCAGAAAATGGAAGACATACAAGACCACTGATAATCTCCCTCGATCTGGGGCTCCACACAAGATCTCATCCTGTGGGGTCAAAATGATCATGAGAACGGTGATCAAAAATCCCAGAACCACACGGGGGGACCTGGTGAATGACCTGCAGAGAGCTGGGACCAAAGTAACAAAGGTTACCATCAGTAACACACTACGACGACAGGGAATCAAATCCTGCAGTGCCAGACGTGTCCCCCTGCTGAAGCCAGTGCATGTCCAGGCCCGTCTGAAGTTTGCCAGAGAGCACATAGATGATACAGCAGAGGATTGGGAGAATGTCATGTGGTCAGATGAAACCAAAGTAGAACTGTTTGGTATAAACTCAACTCGTCGTGTTTGGAGGAAGAAGAATACTGAGTTGCATCCCAAGAACACCATACCTACTGTGAAGCATGGGGGTGGAAACGTCATGCTTTGGGGCTGTTTTTATGCTAAGGGGACAGGACGACTGATCTGTGTTAAGGAAAGAATGAAGGGGGCCATGTATCGTGAGATTTTGAGCCAAAACCTCCTTCCATCAGTGAGAGCTTTTAAGATGAAACGTGGCTGGGTCTTCCAGCATGACAATGATCCCAAATACACCGCCCGGGCAACGAAAGAGTGGCTCCGTAAGAAGCATTTGAAAGTCCTGGAGTGGCCTAGCCAGTCTCCAGACCTCAACCCCATTGAAAATCTGTGGAGGGAGTTGAAAGTCCGTGTTGCTCGGCGACAGCCCAGAAACATGGAGGAATGGGCCAAAATACCAGCTACTGTGTGTGCAAACCTGGTAAAGACCTATAGTAATCGTTAGACATTTGTCATTATTTTTAGTGGGAGAACTTGCACAATCGGTGGCTGACTAAATACTTTTTTGCCCCACTGTATGTCCATGAGACTCACTCTGTCCTGAAGTTCTCTTGTTCTCCCATAGACCGGTCACTCCTGAACTTCAGTGGTTCTCCCATAGACCGGTCACTCCTGAACTTCAGTGGTTCTCCCATAGACCGGTCACTCCTGAACTTCAGTGGTTCTCCCATAGACCGGTCACTCCTGAACTTCAGTGGTTCTCCCATAGACTGGTCACTCCTGAACTTCAGTGGTTCTCCCATAGACTGGTCACTCCTGAAGTCCCATGGTACATCCTCCAGTCACTCCTGAGGGACTCACATCTGGGACCAGGTCCAGACTGAAGTTTGTGGAGGATCCTGAGACACAGAAGAAGAGAGCTTCAGTGTTGGAGAGGCCTTCACCATAGGCTGCGTCACGTCCACAAACACACAGATATCATCTACACCTGGTATCTACACCTGGTATCTACACCTGGTATGAGCTCTGTCCATGTCTTCAGGACACTGTGTCTGTGAGCTGCTGATACAAGGAGTGGGACTTACCAAGGACCAGCTCCTCTTTATCATGGTTTAGTCCTGGTTTAGTCCTGGTTTAGTCCTGGTTTAGTCCCTGGTTTAGTCCCTGGTTTAGTCCTGGTTTAGTCTTGGTTTAGTCCTGGTTTAGTCCTGGTTTAGTCCTGGTTTAGTCCTGGTTTAGTCCCTGGTTTAGTCCTGGTTTAGTCCCTGGTTTAGTCCCTGGTTTAGTCCTGGTTTAGACCTGGTTTAGTCCTGGTTTAGTCCTGGTTTAGTCCCTGGTTTAGTCCTGGTTTAGACCTGGTTTAGTCCTGGTTTAGTCCTGGTTTAGTCCTGGTTTAGTCCCTGGTTTAGTCCTGGTTTAGTCCTGGTTTAGTCTTGGTTTAGTCCTGGTTTAGTCCTGGTTTAGTCTTGGTTTAGTCTTGGTTTAGTCTTGGTTTAGTCCCTGGTTTAGTCCTGGTTTAGTCCTGGTTTAGTCCTGGTTTAGTCTTGGTTTAGTGTTGGTTTAGTGTTGGTTTAGTCCTGGTTTAGTCTTGGTTTAGTCCTGGTTTAGTCCTGGTTTAGTCCTGGTTTAGTCTTGGTTTAGTCCTGGTTTAGTCCTGGTTTAGTCCTGGTTGAGCCCAGACATTTAACTTCTGCAGTTCCATCTACAGGAGGATCTTTGAGTGACGTCGTTGTTTATAGTTGTTCATAAACAATCACTAACACAGACACATGGTACTTACTTTCTGGTCACTAGCATTGACACATCAACACGTCACACATGGTACTTACTTTCTGGTCACTAGCACAGACACATCAACACGTCACACATGGTACTTACTTTCTGGTCACTCACACAGACACATAAACACGTCACACATGGTAATTACTTTCTGGTCACTCACACAGACACATCAACACGTCACACATGGTACTTCCTTTCTGGTCACTAACACAGACACAGACACACGTCACACATGGTACTTCCTTTCTGGTCACTAACACAGACACATCAACACATCACACATGGTACTTCCTTTCTGGTCACTAACACAGACACATCAACACGTCACACATGGTACTTCCTTTCTGGTCACTAACAAAGACACATCAACACGTCACACATGGTACTTACTTTCTGGTCACTCACACAGACACATCAACACGTCACACATGGTACTTACTTTCTGGTCACTAACACAGACACATCAACAGGTCACACATGGTACTTACTTTCTGGTCACTAACACAGACACATCAACACGTCACACATGGTATTAACAGCAGAAATATTCCTCAAATCAAAATGAGCTGTGGATCTGAAAACTAAAAAATCAGTTCAACGATACAGAGGAACAACAGGAGATGACCGCCCAGGCCCTGACCTGCTTAGCCTCAGACACACATGAATCACAGTCAGACTTACCCATGATCCTCCTCCTTTTTAAAGTCAACATATCGATCAATGGAGCTCAGTGACGCCGCCCTTCTGATGGTGGGAGGACAGTGCTCTCTCTGGTCCATGCTCAGTCTCTCTGTCGCCGCCCTGCTGGTGGTCAGTCCAGACTCCTACACAATAAAACAGTGTTTGACTCCGCCCACTGTTCCTATGGTAACTGTTGTATACATACGTCACACATTAACACGTCACACATGGTACTTACTTTCTGGTCACTAACATAGACACATGGTACTTACTTTCTGGTCACTAACACAGACACATGGTACTTACTTTCTGGTCACTAACACAGACACATGGTACTTACTTTCTGGTCACTAACACAGACACATGGTACTTACTTTCTGGTCACTAACACAGGCACATGGTACTTACTTTCTGGTCACTAACACAGACACATGGTACTTACTTTCTGGTCACTAACACAGACACATGGTACTTACTTTCTGGTCACTAACACAGACACATGGTACTTACTTTCTGGTCACTAACACAGACACATGGTACTTACTTTCTGGTCACTAACACAGACACATGGTACTTACTTTCTGGTCACTAACACAGACACATGGTACTTACTTTCTGGTCACTAACACAGACACATGGTACTTACTTTCTGGTCACTAACACAGACACATGGTACTTACTTTCTGGTCACTAACACAGACACATGGTACTTACTTTCTGGTCACTAACACAGACACATGGTACTTACTTTCTGGTCACTAACACAGACACATGGTACTTACTTTCTGGTCACTAACACAGACACATGGTACTTACTTTCTGGTCACTAACACAGGCACATGGTACTTACTTTCTGGTCACTAACACAGACACATGGTACTTACTTTCTGGTCACTAACACAGACACATGGTACTTACTTTCTGGTCACTAACACAGACACATGGTACTTACTTTCTGGTCACTAAACACGGGTACTTACTTTCTGGTCACTAACACAGACACATTAACCAGAGATGCTAACGGTGCTAACAGCTAACACGGGTTTTCTGGTCAACCGGAGATGCTAACGGTGCTAACAGCCGTAACACGGCTTTAACCGGAGATGCTAACGGTGCTAACAGCTAACACGGGTTTAACCAGAGATGCTAACGGTGCTAACAGCTAACACGGGTTAAACCGGAGATGCTAACGGTGCTAACAGCTAACACGGGTTTAACCGGAGATGCTAACGGTGCTAACAGCTAACATTGTATAAACGACACACATTAAAGCAAGCACATAAGTTAGCAGTTATATTTATGTCTGGCGTCATAGAGACCGGTTTATAAACATCCTCGTTGCTGGTAGTTAGTTTAACATTATTATTTACAGTCTATGGTTTATAAACATCCTCGTTGCTGGTAGTTAGTTTAACATTATTATTTACAGTCTATGGTTTATAAACATGCTCGTTGCTGGTAGTTAGCTTAACATTATTATTTACAGTCTATGGTTTATAAACATGCTCGTTGCTGGTAGTTAGTTTAACATTATTATTTACAGTCTATGGTTTATAAACATAAAGAGTGTTTAGTATATATGTAAGAGAGAGACCAGGAGAGACCAGGAGAGAGACCAGGAGAGACCAGGAGAGACCAGGAGAGAGACCAGGAGAGACCAGGAGAGACCAGGAGAGAGACCAGGAGAGACCAGGAGAGAGACCAGGAGAGACCAGGAGAGAGACCAGGAGAGAGACCAGGAGAGAGACCAGGAGAGAGACCAGGAGAGAGACCAGGAGAGAGACCAGGAGAGACCAGGAGAGAGACCAGGAGAGACCCAGGAGAGAGCCCAGGAGAGACCAGGAGAGACCAGGAGAGAGAGCAGGAGAGAGAGCAGGAGAGAGACCAGAGAGAGACCAGAGAGAGACCAGAGAGAGACCAGGAGAGAGACCAGGAGAGAGACCAGGAGAGAGACCAGGAGAGAGACCAGGAGAGACCAGGAGAGCAGGAGAGACCAGGAGAGACCAGGAGAGAGACCAGGAGAGACCAGGAGAGACCAGGAGAGACCAGGAGAGACCAGGAGAGAGACCAGGAGAGAGCAGGAGAGAGAGCAGGAGAGAGACCAGAGAGAGACCAGGAGAGAGACCAGAGAGAGACCAGAGAGAGACCAGGAGAGAGACCAGGAGAGACCAGGAGAGAGACCAGGAGAGACCAGGAGAGAGACCAGGAGAGACCAGGAGAGAGACCAGGAGAGACCAGGAGAGCAGGAGAGACCAGGAGAGACCAGGAGAGAGACCAGGAGAGACCAGGAGAGAGACCAGGAGAGAGACCAGGAGAGACCAGGAGAGCAGGAGAGACCAGGAGAGAGACCAGGAGAGAGACCAGGAGAGAGACCAGGAGAGACCAGGAGAGAGCAGGAGAGAGCAGGAGAGACCAGGAGAGAGACCAGGAGAGAGCAGGGGAGAGAGCAGGAGAGAGAGCAGGAGAGAGACCAGGAGAGAGACCAGGAGAGAGACCAGGAGAGACCAGGAGAGAGACCAGGAGAGACCAGGAGAGAGACCAGGAGAGAGACCAGGAGAGAGACCAGGAGAGACCAGGAGAGAGACCAGGAGAGAGACCAGGAGAGAGACCAGGAGAGAGCAGGAGAGACCAGGAGAGAGACCAGGAGAGAGACCAGGAGACCAGGAGAGAGACCAGGAGAGAGACCAGGAGAGAGACCAGGAGAGACCAGGAGAGACCAGGAGAGACCAGGAGAGAGACCAGGAGAGACCAGGAGAGAGACCAGGAGAGAGACCAGGAGAGAGACCAGGAGAGACCAGGAGAGACCAGGAGAGAGACCAGGAGAGACCAGGACAGAGACCAGGAGAGAGAGAGCAGAGACCAGGAGAGAGAGCAGAGACCAGGAGAGAGAGCACAGACCAGGAGCGAGATCAGGGACCAGGAGAGACAGACCATGAGAGAGCAGGGACCAGGAGAGACAGACCATGAGAGTGTTGTTTTCTGTGCAGCCGCATCGAAAGAAGAAGTCGTTCATTGAGAAGAAGAAGGCGGTGACGTTTCACCTGGTTCACCGCAGTCAGAGAGACCCACTGGCAGCTGACGAGACTGCACCACAACATGTGCTGCTGCCGGCTCACATGGTACTCACATGGTTCTCACACTACAGTCACATGGTACTCACCTGGTACTGACACTACAGTCACATGGCACTGACACTATAGTCTCTGTGCATGTGTGTCTCTGTGAGTCTCTCTCTCTTTGTCTCTTTGTGTGTGTGTGTCTCTGTGAGCTCTCTCTCTCTCTCTGTGTGCTCTCTCTGTGTGCGTCTCCCTCTCTCTGTGTGTGCTCTCTCTCTCTGTGTGTGCGTCTCTCTCTCTCTCTCTCTGTGTCTCTGTGTGTGTGTGTCTCGTCCTCCCTCTCTCTCTCTCTGTGTGCGTCTCTCTCTGTGTGCTCTCTCTGTGTGTGTGTCCTCTCTCTCTCTCTTCTTGTGTGCGTCTCCCTCTTCTCTGTCTCTCTGTGTGCCCCTCTCTGTGTGCGTCTCCTCTCTCTCTCTCTCTCTCTGTGTGCCTCTCTCTGTGTGCGTGTGCGTCCCTCTCTCTCTCTCTGTGTGCCTCTCTCTGTGTGTGTCTCCCTCTCTCTCTCTCTGTGTGCGTCTCCCCTCTCTCTCTCTCTCTCTGTGTGCCTCTCTCTGTGTGTGTCCCTCTCCTCTCTCTCTCTCTGTGTGCCTCTCTCTGTGTGCGTCTCCCTCTCTCTCTCTCTCTCTGTGTGCGTCTCCCTCTCTCTCTCTCTCTCTCTGTGTGCCCCTCTCTGTGTGCGTCTCCCTCTCTCTCTCTCTGTGCCTCTCTCTGTGTGCGTCTCTCTCTCTCTCTCTGTGTGCCTCTCTCTGTGTGCGTCTCCCTCTCTCTCTCTCTCTCTGTGTGCCGTCTCTCTGTGTGCGTCTCTCTCTCTCTCTCTCTGTGTGCGTCTCTCTCTCTCTCTCTCTGTGTGCCTCTCTCTGTGTGCGTCTCCCTCTCTCTCTCTCTGTGTGCGTCTCCCTCTCTCTCTCTCTCTCTGTGTGCCTCTCTCTGTGTGCGTCTCCCTCTCTCTCTCTCTCTGTGTGCCTCTCTCTGTGTGCGTCTCCCTCTCTCTCTCTCTCTGTGTGCCCCTCTCTGTGTGCGTCTCCCTCTCTCTCTCTCTGTGCCTCTCTCTGTGTGCGTCTCTCTCTCTCTCTCTGTGTGCCTCTCTCTGTGTGCGTCTCTCTCTCTCTCTGTGCCTCTCTCTGTGTGCGTCTCCCTCTCTCTCTCTCTGTGTGCGTCTCCCTCTCTCTCTCTCTCTCTGTGTGCCTCTCTCTGTGTGCGTCTCTCCCTCTCTTTCTCTCTCTCTCTGTGCCTCTCTCTGTGTGCGTCTCCCTCTCTCTCTCTCTCTCTGTGCCCCTCTCTGTGTGCGTCTCCCTCTCTCTCTCTCTCTCTGTGTGCCCCTCTCTGTGTGCGTCTCCCTCTCTCTCTCTCTGTGCCTCTCTCTGTGTGCGTCTCTCTCTCTCTCTCTGTGTGCCTCTCTCTGTGTGCGTCTCCCTCTCTCTCTCTCTCTCTGTGTGCCTCTCTCTGTGTGCGTCTCTCTCTCTCTCTCTCTGTGTGCGTCTCTCTCTCTCTCTCTCTGTGTGCCTCTCTCTGTGTGCGTCTCCCTCTCTCTCTCTCTGTGTGCGTCTCCCTCTCTCTCTCTCTCTCTGTGTGCCTCTCTCTGTGTGCGTCTCCCTCTCTCTCTCTCTCTGTGTGCCTCTCTCTGTGTGCGTCTCCCTCTCTCTCTCTCTGTGTGCCCCTCTCTGTGTGAGTCTCCCTCTCTCTCTCTCTGTGCCTCTCTCTGTGTGCGTCTCTCTCTCTCTCTCTGTGTGCCTCTCTCTGTGTGCGTCTCTCTCTCTCTCTGTGCCTCTCTCTGTGTGCGTCTCCCTCTCTCTCTCTCTGTGTGCGTCTCCCTCTCTCTCTCTCTCTCTCTGTGTGCCTCTCTCTGTGTGCGTCTCTCCCTCTCTTTCTCTCTCTCTCTGTGCCTCTCTCTGTGTGCGTCTCCCTCTCTCTCTCTCTCTCTGTGTGCCCCTCTCTGTGTGCGTCTCCCTCTCTCTCTCTCTCTCTGTGCCTCTCTCTGTGTGCGTCTCCCTCTCTCTCTCTCTCTGTGTGCCTCTCTCTGTGTGCCTCTCTCTGTGTGCCTCTCTCTCTGTGCCTCTCTCTGTGTGCGTCTCCCTCTCTCTCTCTCTCTGTGTGCCCCTCTCTGTGTGCGTCTCTCTCTCTCTCTCTCTCTCTGTGCCCCTCTCTGTGTGCGTCTCCCTCTCTCTCTCTCTCTCTGTGCCTCTCTCTGTGTGCGTCTCCCTCTCTCTCTCTCTCTCTGTGCCTCTCTCTGTGTGCGTCTCTCTCTCTCTCTCTCTCTCTCTGTGTGCCTCTCTCTGTGTGCGTCTCTCTGTGTGCGTCTCTCTCTCTCTCTCTCTCTCTCTCTGTGTGCCTCTCTCTGTGTGCGTCTCCCTCTCTCTCTCTCTCTCTCTGTGTGCGCCTCTCTCTGTGTGCGTCTCTCTGTGTGCGTCTCCCTCTCCCTCTCTCTCTCTCTCTCTCTCTCTCTGTGTGCGTCTCTCTCTGTGTGCGTCTCCCTCTCTCTCTCTCTCTCTGTGCCTCTCTCTGTGTGCGTCTCCCTCTCTCTCTCTCTCTCTGTGTGCCTCTCTCTGTGTGCGTCTCTCTCTCTCTCTCTCTCTCTCTCTGTGTGCCTCTCTCTGTGTGCGTCTCTCTCTCTCTGTGCCTCTCTCTGTGTGCGTCTCCCTCTCTCTCTCTCTCTGTGTGCCTCTCTCTGTGTGCGTCTCCCTCTCTCTCTCTCTCTCTCTCTGTGCCTCTCTCTGTGTGCGTCTCCCTCTCCCTCTCTCTCTCTCTCTCTCTCTCTGTGCCTCTCTCTCTGTGCCTCTCTCTGTGTGCGTCTCTCTCTCTCTCGCTCTCTCTGTGTGCCTCTCTCTGTGTGCGTCTCTCTCTCTCTCGCTCTCTCTGTGTGCGTCTCCCTCTCCCTCTCTCTCTCTCTCTCTCTCTCTGTGCCTCTCTCTGTGTGCGTCTCTCTCTCTCTCGCTCTCTCTGTGTGCCTCTCTCTGTGTGCGTCTCTCTCTCTCTCTCTCTCTCTGTGTGCGTCTCCCTCTCCCTCTCTCTCTCTCTCTCTCTCTGTGCCTCTCTCTGTGTGCGTCTCTCTCTCTCTCGCTCTCTCTGTGTGCCTCTCTCTGTGTGCGTCTCCCTCTCCCTCTCTCTCTCTGTGTGCCTCTCTCTGTGTGCGTCTCTCTGTGTGCGTCTCTCTCTCTCTCTCTCTGTGACTCTCTCTGTGTGTGTCTCTCTCTCTCTCTCTCTCTCTCTCTCTGTGTGCCTCTCTCTGTGTGCGTCTCTCTCTCTCTCTCTCTCTCTATGTGCGTCTCTCTCTCTCTCTCTCTCTCTCTGTGTGCCTCTCTCTGTGTGCGTCTCCCTCTCTCTCTCTCTCTGTGTGCCTCTCTCTGTGTGCGTCTCCCTCTCTCTCTCTCTCTCTCTGTGCCTCTCTCTGTGTGCGTCTCCCTCTCTCTCTCTCTCTCTCTGTGTGCCCCTCTCTGTGTGCGTCTCCCTCTCTCTCTCTCTCTCTGTGTGCCTCTCTCTGTGTGTGTCTCCCTCTCTCTCTCTCTCTCTCTGTCTCTCTCTCTGTGTGCGTCTCCCTCCCTCTCTCTCTCTCTCTCTCTGTCTCTCTCTCTGTGTGCGTCTCCCTCCCTCTCTCTCTCTCTCTCTCTCTGTGTGCCTCTCTCTGTGTGTGTCTCTCTCTCTCTCTCTGTCTCTCTCTCTGTGTGTGTCTCCCTCTCTCTCTCTCTCTCTCTCTCTCTCTCTGCCCTCTCTCTGTGTGCGTCTCCCTCTCTCTCTCTCTCTCTGTGTGCCTCTCTCTGTGTGCGTCTCTCTCTCTCTCTCTCTCTGTGTGCCTCTCTCTGTGTGCGTCTCTCTCTCTCTCTCTGTGCCTCTCTCTGTGTGCGTCTCTCTCTCTCTCTCTCTCTGTGTGCCTCTCTGTGTGCGTCTCCCTCTCTCTCTCTCTCTGTGTGCCTCTCTCTGTGTGCGTCTCCCTCTCTCTCTCTCTCTCTGTGCCTCTCTCTGTGTGCGTCTCCCTCTCCCTCTCTCTCTCTCTCTCTCTCTCTCTGTGCCTCTCTCTGTGTGCCTCTCTCTGTGTGCGTCTCTCTCTCTCTCTCTCTGTCTCTCTCTCTGTGTGCGTCTCTCTCTCTCTCTCTCTGTGTGCCTCTCTCTGTGTGCGTCTCCCTCTCTCTCTCTCTCTGTGTGCCTCTCTCTGTGTGCGTCTCTCCCTCTCTCTCTCTCTGTCTCTCTCTCTGTGTGCGTCTCCCTCTCTCTCTGTGGCTCTCTCTGTGTGCGTCTCTCTCTCTCTCTCTCTCTCTCTCTGTCTCTCTCTCTGTGTGCGTCTCCCTCTCTCTCTCTCTCTCTGTGTGCCTCTCTCTGTGTGCGTCTCCCTCTTTCTCTCTCTCTCTGTGTGCCTCTCTCTGTGTGCGTCTCCCTCTTTCTCTCTCTCTCTGTGTGCCTCTCTCTGTGTGCGTCTCTCTCTCTCTCTGTGTGCCCCTCTCTGTGTGCGTCTCCCTCTCTCTCTCTCTCTGTGTGCCTCTCTCTGTGTGCGTCTCCCTCTCTCTCTCTCTGTACCTCTCTCTGTGTGCGTCTCTCTCTCTCTCTCTCTGTGCCTCTCTCTGTGTGCGTCTCCCTCTCTCTCTCTCTCTGTGTGCCCCTCTCTGTGTGCGTCTCCCTCTCTCTCTCTCTGTGCCTCTCTCTGTGTGCGTCTCTCTCTCTCTCTCTGTGTGCCTCTCTCTGTGTGCGTCTCCCTCTCTCTCTCTCTCTGTGTGCCCCTCTCTGTGTGCGTCTCCCTCTCTCTCTCTCTCTCTCTGTGTGCCCCTCTCTGTGTGCGTCTCTCTCTCTCTCTGTGTGCCTCTCTCTGTGTGCGTCTCTCTGTGTGCCCCTCTCTGTGTGCCTCTCTCTGTGTGCCTCTCTCTGTGTGCCCCTCTCTGTGTGCGTCTCTCTCTCTCTCTCTCTCTCTCTCTCTGTGTGCCTCTCTCTGTGTGCGTCTCCCTCTCTCTCTCTCTCTCTGTGTGCGTCTCCCTCTCTCTCTCTCTCTCTCTGTGTGCCTCTCTCTGTGTGCGTCTCTCTCTCTCTCTCTCTCTCTGTGTGCCTCTCTCTGTGTGCGTCTCTCTCTCTCTCTCTCTCTCTCTCTCTGTGCCTCTCTCTGTGTGCGTCTCTCTCTCTCTCTGTGTGCCTCTCTCTGTGTGCGTCTCTCTCTCTCTCTCTCTCTCTGTGTGCCTCTCTCTGTGTGCGTCTCTCTCTCTCTCTCTCTCTCTCTGTGCCTCTCTCTGTGTGCGTCTCCCTCTCTCTCTCTCTCTCTGTGTGCCTCTCTCTGTGTGCGTCTCTCTCTCTCTCTCTCTCTCTCTCTGTGTGCGTCTCTCTCTCTCTCTCTCTCTGTGTGCCTCTCTCTGTGTGCGTCTCTCTCTCTCTCTCTCTCTGTGTGTGCCTCTCTCTGTGTGCGTCTCTCTCTCTCTGTGTGCGTCTCTCTCTCTCTCTCTCTCTCTGTGTGCGTCTCTCTCTCTCTGTGTGCGTCTCTCTCTCTCTGTGTGCGTCTCTCTCTCTCTCTCTCTCTACAAAGTATTAGCGCAAGGGGCCGAATAATATTGCACGCCCCACTTTTCAGTTTTTTATTTGTTAAAAAAGTTTAAATTATCCAATAAATTTAATTCCACTTCACGATTGTGTCCCACTTGTTGTTGATTCATGACAAAAAATTATTTTTTATATCTTTATGTTTGAAGCCTGAAATGTGGCGAAATGTTGAAAGGTTCAAGGGGGCCGAATACTTTCGCAAGGCACTGTAGTGCTTGATGGTTGGTGTTTGAACGTATGATGCTTGATAGTTGGTGTTTTATGGTATGAAGGTTGATGGTTGGTGCTTGATGGTATGGTGCTTGATGGTGTGGTGCTTGGTGATTGATGGTTAGTGCTTGATGGTTGGTGCTTCATGGTATAATGCTTCATGGTTGGTGCTTGGTGGTATGGTGCTTGATGGTATAATGCTTGATGGTTGGTGCTTGGTGGTGTGATGGTTGATGGTGTGATGCTTGATATAATGATGCTTGATAGTATGGCGCTTGATGTTGTGATGGTTTATGGTATGGTGCATGATGTTGTGATGCATGATGGTTGATGGTGTGGTCGTGCTTGATGGTATGATGCTTGATGGTTTGATGCTTGACGGTGTGATGGGTATGATGGTTGATGGTGTGATGCTTGATGGTATGGTGCTTGATGGTGTAATGCTTGATGGTTGAAAGTGTGTTGATTGATGGTTCATGGTGTGGTGCTTGATGGTTTGATGCTTGACGGTGTGATGGTATGGTGCTTGATGGTATGGTGCTTGATGGTTTGGCGCTTGATGTTGTGATGCTTGATGGTTTATGTTATGGTGCATGATGTTGTGATGCTTGATGGTATGATGCTTGATGGTGTGATGCTTGATGGTATGGTGCTTGATGGTATGATGCTTGATGGTTTATGTTATGGTGCTTGATGTTGTGATGCTTGATGGTATGAGGCTTGATGGTGTGATGCTTGATGGTATGGTGCTTGATGGTGTAATGCTTGATGGTTGAAAGTGTGTTGATTGATGGTTCATGGTGTAATGCTTGATAGTTGATAGTGTGATGCGTCATGGTGTGATGGTTGATAGTGTAATTCTTGATGGTGTGATGGTTGATTCTTGATGGTGTGATGGTTGATGGTGTGACGGTTGATGGTATGACGCTTGATGGTGTGATGCTGATGTGTGATGCTTGATGGTTGGTGCTTGATGGTGTGGTACTTGATGGTTGATGGTGTGGTGCTTGATGGTTGTTGTTTGATAGTTGGTGCTTGATGGTGTGAGGCTTGATGGTATGAAGGTTGATAGTTGGTGCTTGATGGTGTGAGGCTTGATGGTTGGTGTTTGATGGTATGAAAATTGATGGTTGGTGCTTGATGGTCTGATGGTGTGGTGGTTGATGGGTTGGTGCTTGATGGTATAATGCTTGATGGTTGGTGCTTGGTTGTGTGGTTATTGATGGTTTGATGGTTGATGGTGTAATGCTTGATGGTATGGTGTGATGCTTGATGGTGTGATGCTTTATGGTGTGATGGTATGGTGCTTGATGGTATGGTGCTTGATGGTTTGATGGTATGCTGCTTGATGGTTTGGTGCTTGATGGTATGGTGCATGATGTTGTGATGCATGATGGTTGATGGTGTGATGCTTGATGGTTTGATGCTTGACGGTGTGATGGTATGGTGCTTGATGGTTTGATGCTTGATGGTATGGTGCTTGATGGTTTGATGCTTGACGGTGTGATGGTATGGTGCTTGAAGGTATGGTGCTTGATGTTGTGATGCATGATGGTTGATGGTGTGATGCTTGATGGTATGATGCTTGATGGTTTGATGCTTGACGGTGTGATGGTATGGTGCTTGAAGGTATGGTGCTTGATGTTGTGATGCTTGATGGTTTATGTTATGGTGCATGATGTTGTTGTTCGAATCCTGGTCAGACCAGGGCCTTTCTGAGTGGAGTTTGTTCTCCCCGTGTCTGCGTAGGTTTCCTCCGGGTACTCCGGTTTCCCCTACCACTAAAAATATGTCCAATAGTTCTGGCATGTGCCTCCTGTACTGGCCCCTCCCATCTCTGTGTGGAGTGAGAGACAATTGCCCAAAAATTAACAATTGTAAACCGCTTTGAGACTCAGATCTGCAGTGAAAAGGCGGTATATAAATTGATTGATGTTTGATGGTATGGTGCTTGATGGTGTGTACCAGGTGGAGGTGGAGAAGCGGCGTGAGGAGCAGAGGAGCTTTGGCGTCTTCTTCGATGACGATTACGACTATCTGCAGCACCTGAAGGAGGCGCCCGGCTCAGAACTGGTGCCTGTGGAGGACAGGAGGACAGAGAGACATGACCAGGAGGAGCAGGAGGAGGACCAGGAGGAGCAGAGAGGCGTGGTGAGGAGCTGTTGTACCTGGGCACTACTGAGAGCTGTTTTAAAAATGATAATTATAATGCATCAGTTTTCTAAAACACTTAAAGATTCTAAAGTCTCTTCACTTCATTATTCTTTCTCTCCAAACACGGTGGTGATAAACTACTACTGTAGCCGCAGCTGCCCTGGGGCACACTGACAGAAGCCCCTCCCACCACCACCACCAACCATTCACACACACACCAGACTCATTCTAATCTGGGGGAAGTGTCTTGCCTAAGGACACAACCACAGTTTGGCACATTACAACCGCAGCCGCCCCACTGTGGCACCTGCTGTTCAGAGGTCTCCCATCACAGTACTAACCAGACCCTGCACTGCTTAGCTTCAGAGGTCTCCCATTACACCACTAACCAGGCCCTGCCCTGCTGTGCTTTCAGACCAGCATAAACCTGCCGTCCTCCGTCTTCGCCTCAGAGTTTGAAGAAGAGGTGGGACTTCTCAACAAGGCAGCGCCCATCTCTGGTAACGTCACATTGTCCTTTCATTAGACCAGAGGGAGACCAGAGGGAGACCAGAGGGAGACCAGAGAGAGACCAGAGGGAGACCAGAGAGAGAGACCAGAGAGAGAGACCAGAGGGAGACCAGAGAGAGAGACCAGAGAGAGAGACCAGAGAGAGAGACCAGAGGGAGACCAGAGAGAGAGACCAGAGAGAGAGACCAGAGAGAGACCAGAGAGAGACCAGAGAGAGACCAGAGAGAGACCAGAGAGAGACCAGAGAGAGACCAGAGAGAGACCAGAGAGAGACCAGAGAGAGACCAGAGAGAGACCAGAGAGAGACCAGAGAGAGACCAGAGAGAGAGAGACCAGAGAGAGAGAGACCAGAGAGAGAGAGACCAGAGAGAGAGAGACCAGAGAGAGAGAGACCAGAGAGAGAGAGACCAGAGAGAGAGAGACCAGAGAGAGAGAGACCAGAGAGAGACCGACCAGAGAGAGACCGACCAGAGAGAGACCAGAGAGAGACCAGAGAGAGACCAGAGAGAAAGACCAGAGAGAGAGAGACCAGAGAGAGACCAGAGAGAGACCAGAGAGAGACCAGAGAGAGACCAGAGAGAGACCAGAGAGAGACCAGAGAGAGACCAGAGAGAGACCAGAGAGAGACCAGAGAGAAAGACCAGAGAGAAAGACCAGAGAGAGAGACCAGAGAGAGAGAGACCAGAGAGAGACCAGAGAGAGACCAGAGAGAGACCAGAGAGAGACCAGAGAGAGACCAGAGAGAAAGACCAGAGAGAGAGACCAGAGAGAGAGACCAGAGAGAGACCAGAGAGAGACCAGAGAGAGACCAGAGAGAGACCAGAGAGAGACCAGAGAGAGACCAGAGAGAAAGACCAGAGAGAAAGACCAGAGAGAAAGACCAGAGAGAGAGACCAGAGAGAGAGAGACCAGAGTATTACAGTGTAATTAATGCCGCTTTTCCACAGTATCAGTACGCTTCGTATCGACTCTAAACGGTGCGGCCCGGTTTGCGTGCTTTTATAGTACCCCCCTAGTATGTCCTCAGCGTTGTCAGACCACGTCATTTCCGTGCCACAACAGTCCACAGTCAGCCACAGTTTACGTCCTCCGTGTGGCCCCGTGGTAAAGAGGTCCGGCTTTTGGGAGTCAGCGGTAAAGCGGTCCGCACATTGTAAGCGGATAGCCGCTTTATGCTGTTAATTACAGTAACATTGGAAAGAGAAGCCGCTGGGATGAGCCGCCACAATGCACTTTTTAACATAAAGCGGCCACCCGCTTTTAATGTGCGGACCTCTTTACCACTGACTCCGAAAACCCGGACCTCTTTACCGCTGACTCCTAAAACCCGGGCCTCTTTACCGCTGACTCCTAAAACCCGGGCCTCTTTACCGCTGACTCCTAAAACCCGGGCCTCTTTACCGCTGACTCCTAAAACCCGGGCCTCTTTACCGCTGACTCCTAAAACCCGGGCCTCTTTACCACTGACTCCTAAAACCCGGGCCTCTTTACCGCTGACTCCTAAAACCCGGACCTCTTTACCGCTGACTCCTAAAACCCGGGCCTCTTTACCACTGACTCCTAAAACCCGGGCCTCTTTACCGCTGACTCCTAAAACCCGGGCCTCTTTACCGCTGACTCCTAAAACCCGGGCCTCTTTACCGCTGACTCCTAAAACCCGGACCTCTTTACCGCTGACTCCTAAAACCCGGGCCTCTTTACCGCTGACTCCTAAAACCCGGGCCTCTTTACCGCTGACTCCTAAAACCCGGACCTCTTTACCGCTGACTCCTAAAACCCGGGCCTCTTTACCGCGGTGTGTGGCCGCAGTGGAAACATTCTGAGAACGCCAGGCAGGGGACGTGGTGAAGGGGACAGGGGGATCATAACACCGGGCATGTGGGTGAATGCAGCGGGGATAAACAACCGCGGGGAACGCGGCAGACGTGGCAGAAGCCGCATGAACAAACACACCGCTAATCTGCCTTTACGGACGGAGATGATGATGATGATGAAGGCAGAGAGGAAGAAAATCCATAAAAGTGGATCAGAAGTGTTTAAGATCCTGTTTGTTGAGACAATCTGACAAGTTCTGAGCCCATTCATTTAATCTTTCTGTTTCTAAACGATGAATTCTGGAGCCTCATTTCCACTGAGAGAAACTGTATGCCACTAGGTCTTTTGGTGCAGATTTCATGACTGTAAACTATAAGCATTGATCATTGAAGGTCTAATACATATAAAGTTCCATATGGCCGCTGACCAGTGCTAAAATATTCTATATAAATTGGATCAGTGAATTAATTCCTATCCCACATTGTGTTTTCATACTAAAAATATTTCACGTTGACTGTTGACAGTATTCCCAGAGCTCAAAATACACTCTCAAACTACAGCTTTTTGAAATCTTTATACAATAAACATTTTCCAAAATGGCCACCACCTTGATGACGTCACAGTAGGGTTGGGCGATATGGGCCTCAGCATGTATCACGATTTTTGTTGGTATGTATCACGATATGACGATATGATAATTTTAACAAAGCCTAATATAAAAATTTAGCACTGATAATTTTAAACACACTTGCCTCAAAGTGCATTTACTGATTTATTGGCAGCAAAATGTGTAATACAGCTATTGTATATAAAACGTATTAACAAAACTGAATTGTAGAGAATTCTGTTTTGTACATACTGAAAATTGCAGGCAACATGTAATAAAGGTGAACATTTGTAATTTGTAAAATGAAAGTTTTTCCTTTGTAATATAAAAAGTGTAGCATCATCAAATAATTATTTGATCACTTTGGCTTATGTTTCCTAATCCCAATATAGTCAAAATGATCAAATACTGTATATATTTTTTGTATCCTTTTGCGTTTCTATAATTATGTCATTATAACTTATTTGTAATTATATTGCAATGTAGACAAACACATGCATTGAAGTAAAATGAAACAAGAGAGAGAGAGAGAAAGAGAGAGAGAGAGAGAGAGAGAGAGAGAGAGAGAGAGAGAGGCTTCGCGTTTTGGCACAATGTCTTCTACAATCTGCATGTCTTCACCGCCGCCCTCAGCCATGTTTGCTCTGTTGTTGTTGTCCCTGCACGCCGCTCTGCTACACGTGCCGCGCAGATGCATCATCAAAGTGCGCCGCACACAAACGTGTCTTCCGCTCGCTGTTTTCAGTGTTAAATGATTGTTTTCACCGGTATAAGGCATTTTCTTATCATTTAATTTACTTATACCGGTACAAAAAAAATATCGCCCAACCCTAAATCACAGTATACAAATTAGATGACGAATCAACATCCATCTCAAAGTTTGCTTCATACTGAAGATATTTCTCATTTACAATATGCCTTCATCTCAAACTACTTTAAAGTTATAGCCTTTTGAAATCTTGAAATCAAAAAAAGAAATGGGCTTAGTGCTGCATGAAAGTCCCTCGTCAAAGGCCTGGGCTCCTCTTTGCTGTTAGTAGGGTCAATATACTGCCCGCGTACCCACAACCCCAAAAAAATTGCACAATTTTGTTTTTTTGTGGTTTTATTTTAGACTGGGTCTAGTCTTTAACATAGTCAAAGTTGGACAAAATCGGAGTATGTGGAAGTGCCGAATTTCGAAGATGACGTTTTTCGGTTTACAAGTCATTTTCCATTTACGTGTGAAGCACTAAGTCGGTCAGTTTTCATGATAAATCAATATATCTTGGATTTTTATCCAGGTTTTCAGGGTCAATCTTTCACATGAAAGGGTTACCAGTGATGTCAAATGAACCCTTATATCATATCTAGGGGTATCCCTACCCCTAACACCGTATTGCCCCCACCCAGGTTCACAAACAGGCAAATGGGTGATTATTTTTTATATGGGTACCAGTGGTGAATTAGAACTTTCTTCTATTAACCCTCTATGGCATACTGTTGCCCTCAGGCAACAAACCAGTATTTTGTCTCTAACAATGGCACTTTAATTTTGTATTTTAGTTTTTTTAAATGTCAGCAGACATGTTTCTGTCCAATCATATCAGGGGCTGAGGTGGGTGTGGCCATTTGTCTGGGGGCTGGGGAGTCCTTTCAGGAAGCAGAGTCACAAGTGAGACGGTGCCCAATTTAGGTAAAATAGATATCTTTGTTATACAGGTTTAAAATGGATAACATGGACTGAATAAATAAATGACTGTGCAAAGATATGTCAAGAACCATATTTGATTGTTTACATATGATTTTTTCAGAAAGTATGTTCTAAAACATTGAATTTAGCTTTGTTGCCTCAAAGCAACGTCATGCAGATGTAGCACTTTTGTTGGAAGAATATGATGCTAATGAATGTCCATGTGCTGAATTGAATTATAAGCAACATACTCAATGTTTTTGTCATTCTATCTACAATTTCAGTTTTAACTATTGTTGCTTGTAGGAAATAGACATACAAACGTTTTATGGAGTTACTGACATTCCATCTGACAGCTTGAGGAGGAGAGTGTCAGTGGAGTAGAATGGACCCCAGATTCAAGTTTGAGACATAGTTGGATGGTCAAGGGCATTCAGGGTTCAGTAAAACTGTTTGTCTGTCTGGTTTGTGAGGGTGTGCAAGTAGTGACTGATTGTTTGTTTTGGATAGAAGATGGGCATGCTAGTGACTCTAATGATATAAATGAACACCAACTTCCCTGACTTTCCTGAATGGCAAGGCAGTCTCCCAAGATTTCAAAATATTTTCTCCCCTTTTCACAACTTCAAGTATGTTTTTTCAGAAGACATGATGTCCATGATTGTAGAGCAGTCAAATTTGTAAAGAACTTGAGCAGTTCAAAGGTTTTATGGTCTTACATGTCACTGTTTGGCTTACCAGCCACACGCATGTTTTGGAGCAAGGCAAGTCGGGTGCACCAAATTGCTAACACCATGAATCTGAACTGAACTAGGAGGCCTTCAAGAAGACCAGATCCACTTAACAAAATTAGACCACTGGTAGACCATCTTACTGCAAAATTTAAATCCACCCCAATGACTGGAAAATTAGCTGTGGACGAACAAATAGTTCCCTTCAAAGGAAAGCACAAGAACAAGCAGTACCTGCCATCCAAACCCAAGAAAAGTGAGTACAAAATACTTGTCTTAGCCAGTTCTGAAGGTATACCACACAACTTTGAGGTAACCCCCTTACCTGGCAGATATAGACGCAAGTGCGAATGTTGTCCTTCGTCTGGCCGAACCAATACCAAGGCAACAGAACCACAAGTTGATCTTTGACAACTGGTTAACTAGTGTTCCTCTCATCCTCACACTTGCTCAGGAGGGAAAATACTGTTTTGTTACATAACAACTTTTAAACGTGATTCCTGTGAGATTCATTTTCATCATTTTATGCATAGAGAAAACCTTGGTGTTTTAGTACCTTTGTTGCGCAATGTTTCCCTGAAGCAACACACCTATATCTGGTTGAGGGGGGTGTGGGGGGCAAATATTGTAATTGATATGTTATCAGAGACCCATAAGCTCTCAGAAGGTGGTTTGAAATATTGTTTTTTTCTCAAAAATAAAAGTCATGCCCAAGAGGGTTAATTGGGCCCCTTACCTTCGTATGCAAATGAAATTGTTCTATGGTATAGGATTCTTGAGAAAACAACTGAAACCCCAAAGTCTGATTGTCTTTGTAGTAGATGTCTTGCTATAGCTGTGTTGTTTATGTTAATAAATTGATGATGTCCGAGCACCAGAGGACAGTTTGGTCCATGTCTTCCACTGTGTCATCCGCTTACAACCTCGCCATGCAAGAACTTACCGCAAGAAGTCGCGCAACAAGTGAACAACATAAGGGTGAGAAGAGATGAGACAGACCTTGGGATAGTTGCAGAACTAGACAGCTTTAAACCATTTTCATTTGATGAATGGTTACGCAATATTACCACAGGGATTGATGCCAATGAGGATGTCAATGTTCATTTTCGAAATTGGAAAAGACACTGTACAGATGATGGATGGACAATCAGTTTTCTACTGTCACAAAGTGAGTTTGAAGGCTAGCATCGAGCAAGAACATAAAGTTTCTTCAGATCATATCATTGACCCAGCACTCCTATTACAGAGGTTTATCGTGGTCTCAGACTGGTAATCTAAGGCTGGATGATGTCATGTCTTATGAACTCTGTCTCTACCCGATGTCTTTGTTTGAAGGAAAGGGCATCTTACGTCAAATGAACAAACCGCAGCTCGCAGAGGATTTTAGAAATTATTTTTGAACAAAATCAGACAGTGCTGTGACACAAACTGCTCCAGTCACAGAGCACAATGTACTAGAACTAGATGGAAGGAAGATGTGGGTGCAATCAGGTTAATGGGGGTAGGGATACCCCTAGATATGGTATAAGGGTTTATTTGGCATCACTGGTAACCCTTTCATGTGAAAGATTGACCCTGAAAACCTGGATAAAAATCCAAGATATATTGATTTATCATGAAAACTGACCGACTTAGTGCTTCACACGTAAATGGAAAATTACTTGTAAACCGAAAAAAGTCATCTCCAAATTTTGACACTTTCCCATTCTCCGATTTTGTCCAACTTTTAGTATGTTATAGACTAGACCCAGTCTAACATAAAACCACCAAAAATAAAAAAATTGCAATTTTTTTGGGTCAATTAGTATATTGACCCTACTATGTTGCAACATGTCCAGAAGTTCAACTTTTAGCACTAACCATGTTGTGGGTTTAGTCCATGGTTCTGTCAAGGAGAACATTAGCATACAGCACTTACAGTCACACTGCTAGCTCTCAGACATGGATTTACATTTGTCAGGCTGAATGCTGTGATACAGGAAACACGGCACAGAGATGACCCCTTAGCCAAT